AATACTGGAATTTTATTATCTTATTTTTTTGTTTTTAAGGGCATTTCTCATAATTCTATCATTACTGAATAGATTTAATTTTATTTTCATGAAGCCAATATCTGTGAATTTTTCCTACAGTAATCAACTGTGTCTCTACACTGACTACTATCAAGCTTCTGGTTTTATAGCTCTGAGAAGGAAGTATACTGGAAGCCAAAAAAATGGTTTGTATTCCTTACCCCCACCCACCTGGGCTCCTAGAGTCAGAACTGAGGTGACATCCTCGGCTGTAGGTCGCTATCAGAACTGAATTTGGACCTGGCATTCTGATGCATCCTGGGAAGCCAGGGGCACTCCTACCTTTCCACCCACCTCTGCCCATCACCAAGACGACTATCATCACTGTTGTGTTCTGTTCTAGGGCTGAGAATTCCCTTGTGACGTGATGCTCCAGGGGCACCTGCACGATCCAGCCCATGTTGGGATATTATTCAGAACATACCATCAGCTGAGAAGTAGCCAGCTCCTCATGATTGCATCCTCTAAATTCCAGCTCTATGAAGATTGGTGAAATTTCTGAAAACTTTCTGAAAGTGTCCAGATTTTTCTTGCTTTAGTTTTTCCAAGCCATTGGAAATAATTAATGTATCTTCAATACTATAAAACTGTGGGAATAATAAGCATAATTATCTTTCCTTGGAAATAGCTAAATGCCCAGTTAACAGGAACAATAATCACTGTGATGACCCAGAACAACAGATGAACAGTATTTCCCTGTTAAATAAACAAGTAGAGGGGCACAGTGAGGGAACACTGAGGAGGAGATGACTGGTGCCTGGAGGCTAGGAGAGGACCCCATGTAGGGCAGGCTCCTGGGGGAACACACTCCTCACATGTTCCCTCCAGGGCCCTCTGAGATCTCAACCTCAGGACCCAAAGAGATTGCTTAAGTCTTCATAGAGGAAAGGAGGGGCTTGTCACCAAGAAAAGCGCACATAGCCTTCTCCAGACAGACACTCAGAGAAGGAAATTTTTCAACTTTGTCTTCCCTGGAGGAAAAGAATTCTCTTTACTACTCAGCCTTCTAGTGTGACACGAGGAAGTTCAGTAGTTCATAGAGAAAGGGAGCGCACTGCTCCCAGATGGAGCCGAGTTTAGGCAAAAATGAACCAAGCCTCTGGACATCGCTTGTCAGTATCCCGGATTCAGGAGATGACAGAGACTTCCCCAGGAGAGCACAGAATCCTCTCTGCACATGTGCACCACACTGATGAGAATGGGTGAGAGCTGAAGGAGCTGCAGGACCCAATCCAGCTGAAAAGAAAAGTGGATGGAGCCCCAGACAGCAGAGGAGACTGAGGAGAGGAGAGGACAGCATTGTGCACCCTGCACCCCACCATGGAGATTCAGGTGTGAGTCTTATGTCCCCCATCGCTATCCAGAGGCTGAGGTCCGGAGGGGAAGAGGCCAGATGCTGGAGCCCATGAAGTCACCACAGTGTCCTTCCAAGTGAGGAGCTATCATGCCTTAATTGTGCTTTGCTCATGGAGATAAGTGAGCTCACCAGGCAGCTGGGATGCCAACCAGCTTGCACTGACACCATGTCATCAGGGTCAGTGGGCAGTAGTGCTGCCTCCACCTTTGACTTCTCTGGTGTCTCTATGATGCAGACAACATGGCAGGGGACACCAAGGGGGGACCCACACACTTTTGTGAGTTTCTTCCACTGTAGCTCAAGACCCACATCCCTGGTGGCATCTACAGAATGGGGCCATGATTATGAAGGCGGGGTAGTGGATGGAAGCAGAGAAAACCCATTTAGGGAGTGTGGGGTTCATAGTCCCACTGTTGCTGGAAGATATACTGCAAAGGGCCCAACTCTGAAGGGCAGGAAGCAGGACCTGCTGGCATCACCCCACATCCTCGTCAGTTCAGGTCCAACATTTTCTGAGCTGAGGAGACCTGGGCACCCTTCACAAAGAACACTAAGAATACAGGAGCTTGCTGACCCAGGTAGAAAGTTCCTCTGCCCTGGCACCTCAGAAATTCACAGGTAGGACGAGTGGCAAAGTCACCTTGTCTTCCATATTGCTTCCTTGAGGTCCTAACCCTGTCTGACTGCCTGTAATATTTTTACCTAATTTAGCTCCCTACCACACTTCTCTCCAACAGTAGCTTTCTTTCCCCCAGTAAATATATTCTGCTCTTAACTTCAATTGTTTCTAAAATTCATTCTTTGGTTTTTGTACCTGGAAGGAATCAAACTCAGGGCATTGAACTTGCCAGAGAGGTACTTGTGCCACTGAGCATGCCCCCAGTAACAAAACAGAAAGAAAAGAAGCCCAGAAGGGTGCAGCAGGTACAGATTTAACTCTTCAGGTCACAAAATTGTGATCCAACCGGACACACCAGCAGGTGTGCGATATTAATATTCTATGCATATCTCAAGCCAAGCAAGTTATTAACACAAGTGTATCACCTGACTCCAGATAACTTTTCTGTAGGAATAATTTTTTTTTTTTTGGCAGAACCGGGGATTGAACTCAGGCCCTTGCACTTGCCAGGGAAGCACTTATTCCACTGAGCCATCGCCCCAGCCCAAGAATAAAATTTTGAAAGGTGGGGAATTTCAACATGTGACAAACCAGGACAGGGCATGTTGAGGTTACAGCCCGAAGTCCTTTTGTATCCCAGCTTCCATGCAAGAAAGTGCTCAGGGGGGTCAAATTATTGTAGGCAGCTGAGTTAGATGGAAATATAAGCAGTGAGAGGGGCTAGGCCTTCAAAGGGCTCAATATGGAAGACAAGGTAGGTACCTTGAAACTGTGGGAGGGACAGGTGCTCCTGCTATGGGCCAGACCTCATGATGAAAGGTTAAGCAAATGCAGCCACATACCTCCTTAGTGACAGACAACAGGAACTGGTATTCTAAACAGGTATCAATCACCTTGAAAAGCCAGGAAATCACTAACCCAACCTTCTACAGGAAAGCCCTCAGTCTGCATTCAAGCCCTCTTGCTCTGTGGCTTGCTTTTCCATTTGATCCTGATTTAATCTATTTTACCTGAGCAATTGTGCTTGTCATGTTATTGGTTGGCTATCCCACCCATGCCTACCTTGTGGGTTCCCATGTTTCCCACCTTGGACCTGCCTCATGTCTTGGTTTGGCTCCATGAAAATCCCTAGAAAAGGCAGGTTCCTTGGCAACCCACTCAAGACCCTTCTGTCCCTCTCTCAGACAGAAGCTTTCCTTCCCTCAATAAACGTACTCTGGTCTTAACCTCTGTGATTCCTAAAATTCATTTTTTGATCTTACAGAACACAAACTCATCCCTGGTATCTTAAGTTTGAGAGTTTCTTTTTCCTATATACCAAAATGTTTGAGGTGTGTTTCAGCATTCTTTCTAGATTTCACAATTGAAAATACATCTATCTTCGGAATTCAGAGATTTTATATGACCCTGAATAAAGTTTGGGGCTTCTGTGAGAGTTAGCATAATTGTTGTTCTTTCCTCTTTACTTTTGCATGAATGTTACTATAATTGTGCTAATTACACGATTATATTATTTTCTTTCATGGGCCATATATTCAATGTGAAATTTTGGCAAGAAAACTGCTTCATTCCCAACGGCAGCGCCTCTCTCTATACCAGTTTGTGCAGGCCTGACCTGGACTTAGGATGTTTTGTAACATTAGGGGACGCTTTTATCGAGCATTGACCCTCAAATCTCAGGACATTTGTGATCCATTTTCAGGAAAAGCCCCCTGAGTCCATCACGAAAATCAGCGGAGCTTTGAAAACCCAGGAGTACATCCCTCAGATGCAAGTATGCCTCAGGGGAAGTGAGATTGACACCTGGCAAAGAGACTTTGTCCTGCTAGGTATGGAACTTGGGACCTTGCACATGCCAGTCGGGCTCTTAGGCCACAGAGCTGTCTCCCTAGCCCACAAGCTAGCATTTGAACTGTACACCTGCTTTGTCCTGCAAACTCAGCTGAGTGACAGGAGCAGCAACCAATCAGCAATGCAGGCCCGGGCTGTCTGAACTACCCAATCCCACAGGGTGAAGGAGGAGGGCACTTCCTGTGTGATGGCGCCACACTGCGCAGATCTCCTGCTGACTAGAGAGCATTTTCTGAAGTTTCTACTAGCAGTGAGCTGAATTGGAAGGATCCTCGGAGACCATCAGCCCACGCAATGGTAGCGTTGGGGAGTTGGGGATCGGGTGGAATCTGGTGTGTTCTGGATGGAAGTGGTCAGAACCAGCTATTGCATGTACAACCTCCATGCGTAGCCCCAGATACTGAAGGCTTCCTGGTCGTCGGTGCTGTATCTTCCTCGGAATATTTTTTCTGTTTACTTAGTCAGGGACAGTGCTGTTCCCAGCACACAATCCCACCTCAGACACTGCAGCCCACAATACCTGCATGGTCAGCTGCTGGCTCAAAGGTATCTACACCAGTCTGGAGAGAGCAGAGGCTTTAGTAGGAGAAAGGATGCGTTCCATGCACATTATTAAAGCTCTTCACTTTAGTTTTGTATGAGAGATCTCTTTGCAGTTGTGTTACAAAAGAACTCGAGATCTCATAACTATGGAGAATGAAGTTACAAACCAAAAGAAGGATGGTAGGAGATTTTATGGGAAATATTGATAATTGCTCCCTGATTTACAGCAGTGTCCTCATTGAGTCACCTGACACCACTGAATCCAGAGCTACTTCATAGATAACCAGCACAATAAATGCTTACTTAGTGTGCTCCTATCACAGAGGGCTCTGTCAGTTTATAACAATGACCCTGCCCGCAGGTTCTCAAGCACATTTTTCTCAGTTTGCACTGTTAAAACCAAACTAGAATTTTAGAGACACTATGGATATTCCTGGAACTTAGAAACTCAGTAGGGCGTGGCTGCCACTCCTTTTAATATGGAGGTGGCTTCATTCCTTGTTGAGCAGAAAGTTCACACTTGGTCATTGCTAGGTAATTACCTACTTTCATTTTAATTATTTTCTTTCTCTCTTTTCT